CTCCATTGCGCACTCTTCTTTGTTTGGGAGATCCAGTGGAAACACCTTCGTACCTAACGAGAATTTTGAATATTTATGAATAAGAAACAGCGAAACAAAAAATGCTGAGCTTGAGACCTTCTTAAAAATAAGAAGAAGAAATAGCGATTTAATGCACCTATTCATTGCTTTAGAACCATCAGGTCACTATTGTGGTCACTGTAGTTTCAATAGTGACCAGGTCTTAAATTCATTTTTTCCATACAAAACAAAGGAGAGGGGTATTAAATAAGAGAGTTAGCTCCTGTTTTCTTAGACCCTGAGAATGCGCAAATGTACAGGAGTTTCATACGTGGCCGTCCAAAAAACTGGCAGTTTGGTCTACGCCTCGTGTTGCACACTTGATAAAACGCACCTGTTCTTGTTAGACAAATGAAGTAATTTTGTTTTACGAAGTGCTGATCCTTATTCGACTCGTCTTATTAAGACACGAAGTTGTGAAGAGAGTATAATAAAAGCACAGGGTTGAAGGGGAAAGGGGGGAAGGAGGGGAGGGGAGCGGGGGAGGGAAAGTCTGAAGCAGAACCCCTTGGCCCAATAGCGATCGACATAAATTTTTCCCCTAGCAATAACACTTACATAATCAATAGAAAAGGTTATGGGGAGAGAGTCATTAAAATAATCACGTAAAAAATATCTTTGATCTTAAAACAAAATCTCTCAACTAATTCTTGAAGAAAAAGTGAGGAGGTATAAAGTCTAAGGAATTTGAATGTCGATATCGGTCTTAAAAGGTTAATTCATGCAGAAAAACATCCTTTTCTTTTCCTTTCCTTCTACACCCCCTCATCACAGTTAGCACGGAACACTTACTTACTTCGACCTGTTCATATAGGCTCCCTCGTCTAATCGATTAGAAACATATAATAATATTGATATAACTATATGCGACGAAATGATAAATAAATAACTGATAAATTAATAGATAAATGATCAGTTGAATGTGTGTTACCTCTTAGCGCCATGTGGCTTTTGATGATATTCTTGCCACTTCTGCAACAATTTTTTTCGATGATATATAGCGAAACCAGCTCCAATAATCAGGATGATAATAATAAACACACCAACCAAGATTCCTGCCAAATTACTTCCTTTGCCATCGTCAGTTTGTGGATCTTTGGGTCCTTAGGATATGATAAGTCCAGTGAGTGACGAGTTAGCAAAATTTTCAGTACTGAGCAACACACTACAACATAGCCACATAGCACGAGACGCAGAATGCTCCTTATTTAACGACGAGGAGTGGAAAAAACTTCTATACCTAAATGATCTAATAGACGCCCTTTCTCAAATAAACGCCCCCACCCCCGGCCTACGCTTTTAATTTTGTATTAGACACCCCGCATGACAATACAAGGAAATAGCAAAACAGAGCAACATTTTTCGATTTATCCATTATGAGAGTTGGCGCATTACATATTGTTCGATGTAAAACTAGTTCAAAGTAAAGATACTGGCTTAATCTAAACGGTCTTGAAGTACCTATGGATGGACCGGATAGTCTGCTATTTACAAACTCTGGTGATATATTCGCCTAAAGCATATTCTTTTGTGGAGTTTGTTACAGTTGTAAGAACAAACGCCTCTGTATAACGCCTCTCAACTATTAAGTAATGATCCGGGTAAGGTGGATAGCAATTTCTTTTGTTATGCGGCAACGATGCTTTCCCCACATAGGAATGTTCTCATTTTTACACAGAGAATGCATAAACCTACATGAAGGCCGTTTACGCAATAAAATGCATTTACACTCCACTTTGAAAGGGTTTTTTCTTGTGTTAAAAGATTTTGACCAATCACAAGAGTTGAAAACAATAGCCAAGAAAAGTTTACAATTTTACATGTTCCCCACATAGGATTTCTTTGTTATTCAAACTCAGACCAGATTTTGTTACATGGAAGATGGTTGGAAAGTAAGGTTGTAGCATGGTTTTTCACATTTGGCATTTGCACGCAGGCGCAAAGCGATAATAAAAATTTTAAACTTGAGAAAAATTACATGATGATTAAATGACAGCTAACAGCGTTTGGATTTTCGTTTTCCACTTTCTTAAAGAATTAAACAGTGGTAAACCGTCAAATGGTATACACTGTAAAAGTACAGGTATGCTGTAAGTAAACTGACGAGATAATTAGTCGACAGTGGGTGTATTAAGAGAGAACAATTACAAGAATCGGAGGCAAAACATTAGTACTTGAAAAAAATGGAAAGTTTCATGATGTTATATCTGTTGGTTCATGCACTCAATAGTTACTTTAGTAGTAGATTAATAACTTTAGTTGGATTTTCAAGTGTTACAAGGTGGAAAATTCTTTCAAACGTTACTTAACCTGGGTATTTCATTTCACAGTTAATAGAACGCATGCAAACAAGGAGACATGTACTGGCCTATGGTTTGTCCAAGTGTGTTTAGAGAGCTTGCAATGCGTAAAATGTAGAACATTAGCTGACTTTAGTGTTAGCAGTGATTAGTATAGCTAGCGAAACCTCCTTGAAGGACTCTACAAATGGTGTGAATGTTAGATAGTCCCCAAGAAAAGAAGAAAATGGCTTCAACGTGCTGTAACTGCTTATAACTTAACCTTCCCCTGTTTTGAGTATCCTTATTAATATAAAACCTTTCCTTATTGCTTCTCTGTAGCTTTTTGATTGTGTTATTGACTAACACCTCTTCCAGGAGCTAAACTAGAGGAGTGACTGGGCGGGAAACAACCAGAGGTTCAACGTTTTTGTGCTTATGCTTTTAACATTACTACTAAAAGCAATAATGTCTGCAAAAGTGCATCATTAAAGCATTAACGTCACAAGAAAGCCAAGAGCCAGCACACAATTAAATTGCGCAAAGCATTTAAAAGCAAAGCATTTAATTTAATTTAAACGCACGGTTTCCATCACACGACGCCTTTTTTGGTCATCACACGACATTGTTTTGATATCGACTGGCTTATTCCAGGTAGGCAAGAGCTCTGAGAATGCGTCAAACACTTCGTGCACTATGTGATCCGAAAAATATTATCTTGTTTTATGGGTTTATTGCCAGTTGACGTACGTTCGCATTTTCGTCAAAAACAGATCAGACCAGTTAGGAAATGGTTGCTGACACATACCTAAAAAGCGAAAGGAAATCCCAACAATGTGTTCTATTGACCTTATTCTAGAATAGGAATATATTCTGTACTATTCCAAAGGTAGAAGGAATTGTAGGTGACGATTTGATGGAGCTAGTTTGTCATATAGTCAATACTTTTGCAGTATGTACAACTCGTAGAATAAGGTCAATCGAATGCACCTTTGGGCTAATCTGGTATTATCGAATCCCCCATCATACACTCGTTTTGCCTCCCGAATTCTGAATAAACTAGAGTGAATCTCCGCTTTACGGACACCCGCTTAATACGGACACCTCACTATTACGGACAGTTTGCTTTGAAAGAAAGCCCTTACAGTATATGATGCTTTTTTCAGAGAGAGAACAGATTTCGAGAGGCTTGGTTGACATGGTATTATTTCTGTTTTATTACGTGGAACAAAGACCCTGTTTTCAAAATATCAATTTACCCGCAAAAAAGGTCATCTTGTTTCAATCTAACTGCTAAGGATTTCGATCATAGGCGCAAAAGTTCGACGCTTTGCCTGCTTATAGATTTTAAACAATTCGCCTCCAGTTATTAGCATGTGTCACAATATCGCGTTTTTTAATATGAACGTTAACCTGTAGACCCTAGGTTGCTCTTCAAGGTATAACTTTTCCGAGCGAGCATCCTGAGTGATAAACCTGTCAGCATTTAAAATAATCATATCATTTTTTTCAAGTTCCAAAGCTTAGCACAGCTGATAAATATAACTGACCTAAAGCATTCTAAACTCAGTTTTTACGTTTCCCATTTGATTCACTTCATTCACATATTGTCTTCATTTTTATTTGAATACTATAAATTATGAAAAGGTAAAGTATAACTAACTGGTCTGTGATGTTTTTCTTCGACACCCGACATGTACCAACCATACCTATGCCCTGCATGTAAACCACTCCTCCCCACTACGTACAGGTCACGACACAGTCCCGTCTATAGTCACTACTACAGCAAACATCACAGATGTCCCAGGTAAGACTTGACAAATGACTCTTTTGCTGTTTTACTAACCTTGCTCACACGACTGGCCTTATTTTTGTCGTCACGCAACATCCATTTAAGTTCTCGTCGCACGTTCCATGCTCCCCAACTTGAATTGATTATTTCTAATCCCCCATAGTGCACTCTGTTTTCCGTCAAAATTTTGCATAAGCTATTGTTTTCCATTGCTCATGGGAATATGCTGACGTCCCAGGGGAATCGAAAACACTACGATCAAACCTCGTTAATACGGACACTGAGGGGTCATAGAAAGTGTCCGTATAAGCGGCGTGTCCGTATAAAGCGAGTTGAATTTCGAGAAAGTGCCAATCCCTTAACTTTTCTTTCCGAAATCAAGGCTTCTGTTAATCAATTGCAAATGAAATGAAAAGCTACTTAGGAGTAGTTTTTGTAGTCCTTCGCAACTTGACGGCCAGTTGGCTATCACTTTGGAGTCTATTTGTGAAATGCCAGAAGTCACTCAAATAAAAGCTATAGTACATGCACGTTTGTCTTTTGTGCGCCAAACCGCTTTCAATTTCTCTTCTACGGAGGCTTCATAAGGCGTCAGGAGAAACTTGCTGAGTAAGATAAATGCAAGTATAACGACGAGAGGTTCTATCGCTGACATACATCTATTTCAATAAAGGTTGCTTTGGGATTTGGTCATTGAAACACAGAATACAATGAAATGCTTTGCTTGAGTGACAACCAAACAACGGCTTTCGAAGACCAAAGCACGATTCCCAAAGCAACCTTTATTGAAATAGGTGTATACCACGTTGTAATGCGCCTGCTCTCACGTTATTCAAAAACACCCCCTTCAACAAGTGCACCTCTGCGAAGAACATATGAAAAACAAAGTCTCCTGTACTTTTCCGTTTTAGCTTAAGTATGGCTGATCAGTTACAACTTTATCGCATTCAGAGCAACATTATAGAAAATAACTTTTTTTTAACTTTTACTTCTTTACCTTTATGATCGGCTGAATCATTTACTTTAACACCTTAAATGGCAGAAAAGGCTCTAAAACTCTTTAGGTTTCGATTATTTGCGGGCTAAGCATGGTGCTCTAAAAGCATTCATAACGTTAACAGATGGAGACAGTAAGAGATTTTCGCCGAGAACTCACGTTCAGGTTGTACAGTGACACGCAGTGGATGCTTTATGCACAGCAATTTGGTACGTTGATGCACATGTAAGACAGTGAATAAAATAAATGCGAATGGATACAACGCAGTCAACTTCAATGTCATTCGATGCAACGTATAGGGTATTGCGTATGAAACGCGATGCAATGCAATGCAGGGTGTAAGGTGAGGTACACGAGATGTATTTTCGCGTATAATGCCATGGTGAATTCAAGAAAAGATGAAATGCAACTTGGTTTAAACGGTTTGCTTCTTCACTAGATCTGGCGTGCATTTCGCAACTAAAATGTCCAAATGAGCAGTTAGTCTAGGTATAATTTCATAGGACAGTGATGTCGAAAGAGAATTTCAGGACAATTTCGTACAGCTTTTTCTGTCGGTTGTTTTAATAATATTCACCAGTCACTGTGACTTGTCGCGAAAAAAAAAACGTTTGTTTCTTCATGTTTGTTTGTTTGTTTGTTTGTTTGTTTGGCAAACAAACAAACAAACAAAGAAAACAACAAATGAAAGAGAAAACTTCTTAATTCCTGTTTAGTCGTCAGGAGAACTAATTTTGAGAAATGCACACAGATGATTACTGAGTCTGACCTTTAAGACCTACTTTCAATGGTAGCAAACTATCAAAGTATCAAAAGAGGCAAAGGGGCAATCGCGAGCGATGAGCGAGGCTCGAGGGCGCGACCTACTCTTCCAACAATTAAGTTTCCATTTTCAGTTTTTAACCTAATTTCAACGCTGTTTTATACAGAAGACCCGAAATTCCTCACGAATGGCCTTCAGCCTACGTAACAAGTGCATAAGAAATATAGTGGATATCCCTCCTTCACGACTACTACTCAGGCTATTTGCACTTTTTTTGTACACCTCAGTGACATACCTCCAGCTACAGTTGGATTAATGCATTCTACCCACTCACTACAACCTGGGCCTTGCCAGCAGCTAAGGCAGAAACATTCGGCTTCATTGTTGCAAATCTACGGAATTCGAATGTAATCAAATCATATTCAGGAACATAAACAGCTGTACTGAAGATTACAGTTGCGGTCTTTGGGACAGTAAAAGAGATAATGTTGTAAAACTTAACACTACTTTAAAATGAAAAAATCTCTTGGCACCACCAATAGCTTTAAGTAAACTGAATGATTAGCACGTGATAAGTCCCCTCAAACTTGAAGAGTAGTTTTTCTACTCCAGAAGCATGCAAGCCTCTTCTAAGAACGACATACATCACAGTACAAGAGTTACTCACCCCATTTCCATTGGAGCAGTTGTTTGGACACTGCCTAAGGCCTGAGCTAAACACTTGTATATCTGTACACTTTCTGTCTATACAGAGCTGGAGGAAAATAGAAAGTTACGTTCATGAGAGTTTAGTTTGGCAAGAATGAATACTCTTCTCACAAGGAAGGTGCAATTCCTCATTGATTTGTTAAGCAGCAGATGGCCTCAGCGAAACCAGTGAAAACTCCCATAAGCACAGTTTGGCAGCGTAAAAAGTCATGCTCTACTACGAGAAAATTGTCTGCACCTGGAACTTTGTCGCAATACTACACGCCGAAAAAAAATTCAGTACCTTTTACTTTCTGTTAGTGCTCATTTTATTGTAGGTCAAACCCGAGGTGACTTTTCAAGGTAACTACAAGGCACACCGGTATTGCTGGTCACTCAACTGTTCGACAACTCACCTTGTTCTCTCCGCATTTTGTCCCCTCTAAAGTCTCTCCAGGATCAGGCACATCTTTTGCAAGGGTTACAGAAGCACTTCTATTAAATGTAAACAAAGCGAACGAACATCAGAATAGATAATCCATTATTCTCCTGGTAATATACAGACAGACCAATAAAAAGGAAAACAAAGGGGTCAAATTAAACTGTTTGGATTAAACTAACAACCTCTCCTAAGAGAAAGCCGACCCACTGGATCTTACAAGTGAGCAGAAAAAAAATCTTACTTAAGGTTCTTTCTTCCTCAATAAGCGACGAACAAACTCTCTGTCATGAAGGATTTCGCGTGGAAGGCGCAGTCATGAAACGAGTTGGCGCGCAAATACTCCCGTCACTCCCGCAAAACCGAACGGAAGAACCGTCTCGCATAGCCAAGTCAAGTCAACTTTTTTTGGCAGGCTGCCATTGGCTGGTATCAAAAGGGGCCGTGCGTAAATTATGACTACATGATAATAAAAATTACTTTAAAATTTTGTACAAAGGATCTTAAAAAGTGCCTACAAGGGAAATTACACATCATCATAACTTGTTTAAGATCAAGAAAAATAATAGAGCTATCGAAGTTACCTAAGAATTATATTAATAAGAAACAACTAATGGCTAAAACGAAATCTAAGAAAGTTCTTAAAAATGGAAAGCGACGTAGCTTCTTTTATTGATGTGGGTAAATTATTAAAAAAAACCGCACCTGAAAATCTAAATGTGTTTTTTCCTGGCGTTAATTAGGGTTCGGTAGATGACTGTCGTTGCTTTGTCTTGTCTAGTGAGTGTGAATAGTGCAATTTCTAATAAAATAATCCGATAAATACGGAGGAACTATTTCATTTAGACATTTAAAAACTAAAATACATTTGTGGGCTTTTTTTTGGTGTTTCCAGGTCCACCCATTCTAACATTTTGAATGATTCTTCGCACCGAATCAGTGTAATCAAAAATAGGCTATACTAAACAATTATACCCTCATTTAGCAGCTTTTAGGGTAAGGTAACGTCGTATGCGGAACAGCAGGTCGAGACGCTTGCTCACTTTATTACAAATCAATTCTACGAGCTCGTTCCACGAGAGATTCTCATCTAGCGCAACCCCTAAGTAACAAAAGCTCGATACTCAACTGTCAATTTCTTTCCCGTGAAGTTGTATTTTATGGTCTGAACAGTGTTCTAGTTTCTGCCTAGTACCAAACAGCATTTATTTAGTCTTACTCTGATGGAGTACGAGCCTGTTGCTTGCTACTTCTTTTATCACTCTTTTCTCAAAATCTTTACCGTTGGTAAAAGTGATTTCTTTAAAACCAGCGCCCAGTGGCGAATTTTCGAGCACAGGTCCCATTCTGGATAAATGTGTAACTACGAGAAAACAAGAGACAGAAAGATACTAACTTGCATAACGTAAGCCCATAGTAATGCCAGTAGCTGCTTCTTTCGGTGCCAATAAGTGGATAGTTAATTTCATCTATGTTTGTACAGTGAAGCATTCCACAAAGCTTGTCCCTAAAACAAAAAACTGCATAAGACAAAGTAAACTACTAACTTAAAGGCAAAACAAAACAATGCATTTATGCAGTTTTTGAGCAAGACCAGCTGTGCGATAAGTAGGCGAGGGCTAATTTTCCGAAAAGCAGCTGTTAAAGGGGTGAATCACACACCCATGTACCCACTGGGATTGATATCTAGGGTAACGTTTCAGTGTTTTTTCGGATCCTGGCTGAGTAAAATTAGCCCACATCCGACGACATCTTAATGGTCGTAGGACGTGGCTTGACGTTCGGACAAAGTTATTACAAAGGCTATCATTTTGCGGATGAATCAAGTCTACCGCGCTTGAGTGCCTGTGAAATTTTCGTACCACAGAAAGAACATTGTTGCAGGGAATATATGACAGTAATCAATATTCCTGCGAATACAATGCGCACGTTTTGTTGGAGACGGGTAATACGTCTTTCATTGAGTCTGACCAGAATGGTGACTTGGCCGTACTTATGTCCTTTCAAGATAGACCGAAAAGCTAATCGCGCCCCTTTTGCTATTTCTGAGTGGCTGTGCTCTCTCTTTTTTTTTGCAATTATTCCCTTTAAATTACTTTACACCTTCTTTGGTATTAAGCGCACAATAAAGATTGTTGTTGTTGGTGGTGGTGGTTGTTGTAGTTTTGCAACATATAAACTTACTCAGGAGCACACTTGAAGTACACATTGTTCTCTTGTCGGTGGCAGTTTCCACGCGCATTGCCTTTCTCGTTAAACGCGTAACACCCGTCTGGACCGGACTTGGCGACTGCATGAAAGTGACAAGTAAATAATTTTAGAGTCCGTGAGGAGAGCAACATGAGATATCAGCTCTTTTAGGGCTTTTCATATTACGGACACCTCAACTCAAAATTAAGTCACGAAAAAGCTTTAATTTGCCGACTGGTAAGATAAACTGGTTGGGTATCAAACTTCTGAGCTACAGAAGGCGGGTTAGAATCCGGAGCTGAATAGTGTCTTGACACTAAACAGTGTAGGTGTAACACTCAGTGACTTAAAATAACTGAGGAGAATGTGCCACCTTTGTCCTGACATCTGCAAATGTTCATCATTCTGCACTTTTCGGATAAGGAAAAAAACTGCAGGCTCCGCCTTACTGCACTTTTACTGATCTGCATTGAATTTGTTACCTCTGCGTCCTGCGTCCCTGACTCATAATCCTTTAAGACGCAAAATAATTCAATGGATACGTCCCGTAGGACACAAAGATCGATCGATCTGACCATGTTTTGGTAGAACATTCTGTTCGTGTGATTTCTGTCGCTGTTAATGTGGTTGTTGTTAAACGATGCAAATATATTTTAGTTCCCTCATTTTTGCTGTTTAAATAGAAGGACTGTTTTAATTTCAGTAAACTATGATAAAGAGTTTGCTGCCTGTTACATAAAGACCCAAGCTTTTTCAATTTAGAGCTCGTTGTTTTTTGAACTGAGATTCAATGGTTCTGGGATTTTTCACAAGATGAGTCCCAGGACTCAAAATAACGATTTCTAAAAAAATCACTGGATCTGATGAAATCGTATACCCTTTTTTAAGACTAAAGACCCCGAAAACCAAACCCTGTTGAACGGCACATCCCCGTTTAGGTAAAATACGGGGCTGCCACCACCGGGGTTTTAGACACAAACGTCAACGTTTTGAACAAAAAAAGGTGCAACCGGCTTTAAAGCTTGGGACACAAAGTTCATACCAGGCCCCCACAAGTCTTGACATTGTTCGTCATGTAAGGGACATTCACTGTTGTAGCAGTATCCCTGCAAAAGAAAAACAAACACATCAAAACTTCTAAATCTATTCTATAATAGAGTTAACAATAACACTAAGTAGGATTCTGACCTTGTTGTTTCCACATGGCTTGCCATTCTGAACATATTTATTGCTTGGGCACTAATGGATAAAAACATCGTCTGTTAGTGAACTCCAACTGAAAGTTGTTTTAATCAGCGAGCCTGGGCAAGGTTGCATAAAACCATCTTGCGATAAGAGGGCTCTTAACGGTTGTTCTGTAATAACAACATATTGTTTTGAAATAATAGTTACGAGTTCCCTTCTGTTTTTTGCAACCCACCCAACCCTGGTTCGCTTGTGAGAACTACAGTTAATAGTGCAATTACTTCGGCTTTGATTGGATAACACTACAATTTGAAAAAAAGCCACCTCGTCAAAAATGTGGCGCGCACGCAAGAATTTTTCCGTGCTTTTTGCCGGCTACATGTACGGTCGACTCCAGATAGCTCGAACCTTCAAGAGAAATCGAAAAAAGTTCGAGTTATCGGGAGTACGAAGCAAATAAAAATGATTAAACATTGTATTTGAATTGGCCTGACAAAACAAGTAAAGACAAAGAATACACGATCGCTTTGAAATATGTCTTGGAATGTAGCTCACTTTTCTTCTTCACTTGTCACCCGCTAAAAACATAGTTCGAGTTATCGAGGGCACAATTGTATAGAAATGATCTGAAGGGAAACAAAAATTACTTCGAGTTAGCGGGAGGTTCGAGTTATTGGAGGTTCAAGTTACCGAGGGTAAAATTACAGTAAATGTAGGAGGGAAATCCAGGGGAAATCAATTTAGGTTGAGTTAGCGCGAGGTTCAAGTTAGCGACGGTTCAAGTTATTGGGAGTCGACTGTATTGGCGTGGAGCTCTCACTGGTATGGACTGATCGTATCTCCATTGAAGGACCAAGGCCAGTGATATCATTCATTAATAGGCCACCAAGCCAAAAATCACTTGGGGTTTCTTCTTAAGAGAATATTTGAGAAGTTTGAGAATCTGAGAAATATTTAGAATAGACAGACTTGCTTACCAATTCTGATATTCCGTCGCAATGTTCGGGCAAGTCACATTCGTTCACCATTTCTCGGCATACAGTACCCTTTGCCTTTATCTGCAATCAGTGAAAAGGAGCAAACTAAATTTATGCTCCAGATTGTGGCGTTTGGATCGTATGGTTACTCTTATTGTTTATGACTGCGGTTCACTGACGTAAGATTGTATATTACAAGTCTAGAAGCAAAGTCTTACCTTACAATTCCCACAACAAGGGCCGGTGTCACATTGAGAACCAGGAAGAAGTTTACAGGTCGTAGCATTACAGCAGCCTTCGCTATACTTTTCACACTCCTAAACAATTATGACATTAACATGTTATTGAGGTTACGGGAGGGTGACACTATTGACTTGCAAATAAAGAATGCATATTTTATCTTCGTTACCCAATATAACATCAGTGTCGAGGTTCCACGAGTTTAATATAAGGGACGTGGTAGCTAATGAGGCCGAGGCTCATAATTTTAAGAGGCTAGTAAATGAGATGTCATGACTGTGCAATTTCATTGAATTAGGTCTATATGCTACAGTAACTAATAGGCCAGTGTCTAATTATTAAAATACGCACATGACCTCGACGGTAGGGGAGAATAAAAAAACGAAATTGTATTGAGATTCAGGGATTAATTATTCACTTCTTTTATTTCTATTTATCTCACCAATCCACGTCCAATATAACTGCACGCCTTCTACTTCACACATCTCAACCAACCCCTACAACGCTACTGTACTACTCACAGATCCCTAATACACATAAAAAAAACTTCACACACGCCTAGTACATCGACGCCCAAATATACGCTCCCACAGCGCCTTTTTTATCGTACCTTACCTCGGAGCCTAGTTTTGATAATTCGAAATAAGCCTTTTACAACAAATACTATACAGATTCACTGTACCTCAACTGTACCGCAGTCACACTCTTCACCTTCCTCTTTGAAGCCATTGCCACAAATAGCGTCACCAAACGTCTGAGAACGACAACCAAAAAATGAGTATCATAAGAGGTGGTAAAACTAAAGGTGGGCGGTAAACCAGAAGCAATTCAAATATCCTTGTGCTTACTTTAGTTGGTGTGTTGAATAAACACGCATCCAGTCCTCTGTCAAGGTATTTTTGGTACGAGTCACGGCTGCATGTTGACCATTCTTTGGATGGCGTGGACCTTCAACAAATAAATTATTATTTAAACAAAGGACAAATCGCGCGTTACCTTTGTAGCCACTTAAAGGACAAGGCGAACAACCCCCTATTACTGACACCGATTGGCTAAAAAGCTGATCCCTACTCTATACGCATGTCAAGAACCGTTTTTCAGTTCGCACCCAACAACTACCACATGCTACGGTGAATCCGACGCTTAAAAAAGTGTTTTACTTCATAGAGGAGGGGAGGAGAGTAGTGAAAGAAACCGTCCACACTTTTCCTCTTTCCAAAAAAAGTGATGGAGACCTAAAGAAGAGGCGAATCTATGAGAATGTTTAACACACAAAAGCTGAGGCAACCATTTGTCATCTAATATCGAACATATTTTTGTAAGACAGAGAAACCACAGTTGTTTTTAAAGACCTAGAGTTTATAACTAGCAGTAAGCAAAAGACTTACCTGGCAACTGCGGACATGATACATCCCTGATGATCAGCTGCGTTGCACTTACAATCTGGAACTGAAATATAGAAGAGTTTTACTTTTAAACCATTGGCTAATATTCCACGTTCAAAGGGAAAAATGTGTTATTCCGCAGATTTAGTGCTACTTGAAAGAAAATCCAATAACAGTGTTTGTACCAATGTAAATTCACATAAGGCGCTATGGCCTTCATATAAGTTATTACATTTTAGTAAAACTCCAACTAGTGGTCTATTATCAATGCTGCATTCTGATTGGTTGAGCTACTACTGGGCTATATGTTATAGCTCCCTAGTAGCGAAAACCGCGGGCTTTTTGGCGGCAAAAAAGGCTTAAAGTCTAGCTTTTAACTAGCTAAAAATTTTATATTCTTGATATTTTTTACCAACTAGTTGGATTTTACTAAAACAATTATTCCTCTCGCCCACATGGGCTATTGACTCAGAGCCCATTCGGGCTCGAGGAATAATTGTTAAAGAGCATGGAAGAGGCTGCCTCGTTCCCAGGCGTCTCTATCTCGATGTAAATTTGCTCGCCACCAAAGTGCGAAGGGCCTAAAGAGGAGGCAGTGAAAGATGTTTTTTTTAGATGAGATGTGGAAAGGTGAGTAAAGCTTGAAAGGCAAAGTTTAGTCCATTTGAATTATAAGCGTATTGTGATTTGGTAGAGTAATTACTATTCTACAATTCGGGTTTAAAAATACATTAAAACAGCTACAACCGCTCGAATACACTTCTCGATAAATATCATTAGCAGACTTACAGTCATCATCATGATACATGCCAAAGTTATGACCCATTTCATGAGCCAAAACGGCGGCCGTAGCTGCGGCACTTACAGCATAGTCCTGTTTTAAAGAAGAACAAGGTTAAATGGAAAGAACAAAAGAAATTACAATACCGCGCATGCATTCAACGCATAATTAGGAACTAAAGGATACCACAGCGAAAATGGTATTTGCGCTCTTTCAACCCTTAATGCAGTTGTCACATCTCGCTAAATTTGGCAAATCAAGACGACCTCAGCTCTCCTAAGGAACCGTATCCAGATTTTAAAGAGAGAAAGAAAACTTTGTCGTCGAGTGTTTACCACCCTCAATAAAACGTGAAATTGGTCGTAGTCGTACAGGTAAAGAAATTTACCACATGCGCAAAGTGTGATGCACGGGCAGAGCTCCTCCTTTGCTCATTTAACCCAAAGCCTTTTTAACGTTCTTTTTTTTAACTCACGTTGATCAGCTAATACATTGCAAATATTTAAGGAACGGTGCCGTGTAGGGGTAGTAGGGACCTTAAGATCCGAGGACGGGGACGGCGGCAAAAACGTCACTTAAAAAGTGAATTGGCCTTCTTTCAATCTTTAGCGCGATTGTCAAACGTAGGCAAACTTTTCTAGAGCTGAATTCTAAGTAAAATATTCAGGTTCAGAGAGAGAAAGAAAATTTAGTCGCCGCTTGTTTACATCCTCAATAATACGTCAAATTTGGCATTTTTACGTCGTGGTCGTGCAGTTTTTACGCTATCGTTGCCTTCAATTCTTAAGATCTCTACCCTCCAACGCCGAAGTCGTCAAGCAACGATCCCCCCGAGGGAAGGGAAGGAGCTTTGAGTGGCGACAAAGAGTACGGCTGCGTAGGAGACTGGTGCAGAGACGAGCGCTTGACAGAAGCCTACGGTGACTACTTTATGCGCACTATACGTGTACCTGAACAACCCCGCCCGACTTTCTCCCACACATAGCCGTCACTGAAGCTTTACCAAGTGTTAAATTTGTAAAAGAACGATGTCTGAAAGAAAAGAGCAACAAAAAAATCAAACTATAAATAAACAGACGTTGAACAAAGCTATGGTTCCGTACCTGATTTTCAACCAAGCAATAAGCCAGCCACGAGGGTGGTCAATAGAAACAACTATGTAGCAGCTGCTCTCTTTGGAGCTCCTGAATCTACAATCATGGACAAAAGTCCTTGGGAAAGTCAGAACGTAACTTCAATTCTATGCGTTTCACAAGTTCTGTCGCAAAAAGCAGTGCTGTCTTTTTACAAATCCATGTCCCCTCCCCCCTCCCCACCCAATACAATGTTCAAAGATCAAAGGAATTGTGCCTTGACGGTTTCAACACTGTCTGTGGGGTAGGGGGAGGGGGTAGGTACGTACAGTGTTAGTAGCGCGCGGATACAATTTCGCGTGTGTTAAAAAGCGTTCGAACTGTACAACTGTCCCAAGACTTTTGTCCATAATTGTAGATTCAGAGCGTATACTCCCTAAACTAGGGAGCACCTAAACGGGTCTACAGTTCTGCTGTTGTACCTTACTTGCTCAGTTAAGCATTCCAGGCGTTTAGGTTTGGTGGGCCGAATTTGCTAAGGCCTAAAGTTTATTCGGGTCCGTTCTTTGATTAATCAACGGTTTTCACTCAATGCTTCTGACAACCACGTATCTTGCCCTTACACCTAAACCTTATTTCACTGTACAGTACAGCGGGGCGCTAAAGAGACGTCCCGACTTTAGGCAAAATGCGGCGGCATTATTTGCAACACCACCAATAAAAACTGCAGTGTATTTGGGCCACGGCGTTTAATCAAGGAGTTCCTATCTCTGCAATCGACTTTTCTTGTGTACAAGCGTACATCGACCATGTGCTACTTCGGTCAATGCAGTCATATTTTTCACTACTTACACCAGAAGCATTGCATTGTCATGCTTGAAGTTTTTATAAAGGACGTCGTTCCTGTAAACCATGAAATTTTCCAAACACTTGTCCGAGTTCTCATCAACAACAATTTGATCACCATCGGTCCAAACCTCAACCATCGTCAAAGCAATGCGAATATTGAGAGGACGAAAAAGCTGAAAGGGAATAACATAAACACGTTTTGAAAATATGTTTACGGTCAAGTCGCCCAACAGTCATCTTGTATGAAGTTCTGTCGCCCGAAACCAGAGATAAGGTGTCACGAAATTCACTGATCCAAATTAGGAAATTACAAAATGCCCGTTAAATTAGGAGAAACATAAAAATAACCGCTTAAAACTTTAAAGAAAGGTTAAAATAACATAACAGAAACAAAAGATGCCACGGATGGGCAAAACTGAAGAAGATTGAAACGGATTGAAATTAGGGTTTTTGAAAACTGTTCAGCCTAACAGTTTTTCAAAGTTGATGCCTGCTGCTTGCAACTTCAAAAATAATGCTCAGGAGACATATTTGCTTGTCTCGGGTCTCTGGTTTTGTCCTTTACTTGCAGTTTCTTTGCTTACTTTAAGTTCCATAGCGATTGAGGGCGAGTAATTGGCAAAATTAAACAAAATGAACTGGACTGCCGTGACACAGCCCCTTTAACTCAAAAGTTTGGGCGACATAACTTCGGGTGAGATGACTTTCGAGATGACTTGACCGGTTACCGTTTTGGTTGATGCCTGACCAAACAACGCTTTACTTTTGACTTTTCCTCGTACGCCGGCGTCTCTCCCACTGAGAAGTATTAAAGCGTACATCCGCACATCCACGATCCACGATGCCTACCCAATCGCCTTTCGGTTTGCTGATTCTTTAGACCGCACCGTTTTAACGAAAGAAATGGATCCGGCCAGAAGGTGGCGGGTCTCTTCTCACAAAAACACTGCAATCTGGATTTTCATTTTCCAAAGCAGACGTAGGCCTTTTCACATTTTTGTAGTCGTACAACAACGGCTAAGCAATGTACAAAAAAGCATGATGCACGTGCAGAGATGCTGTTTTGCTAATCTAAAGCCATTGCTTTTTTGCCGTTGTCTTTGCCGTCTCCGTCGTCGTTGCTTAAGCTCCCTAAAGACTACACTCACTATCATACTTACAGAGTCCACAATATTGGCTATACTCCTTGACCGATGTTCTACTGAGGTCTTGTTCTTACTCAAATGCACATACTAATGAAACAGAAAATTATGCTATGTAACGAGAACAACCACATTTATTTAGTCTGATTGTGTCAGTCATATCACGTTGTCTGCAGGGTTGACGGGGCAAACTAAGTAAAACTGTAACTGTAGGGATCTGCCTAACGTAGAAACATTACTGAATGTAAGAAGCAACGCCCTGGGTGCCAGAAACCTTTTATGTACGTGTTACGCGGGTAATCTATTAGAGGACGGGTAGCTTGCAAACTAAACTGAACCCAGGGTTGTCGGAACAGCAACAAGAACATTTATTCCAAAATGAACGTAGTTTCCACGAAGTAAAACTCCACAACAGCACGTAACTCGTTAAACTTACACGGCCTCCGCCAACTTCAATTAACTTGATAAACTTACACGGCCTCCGCCAACTTGAATAAACACTGCTTTCGTCACACTTGACTAAACACGACTAACGTCGAACTCTCCTCACTTGTGAAAACTAGTTAAACCTTAACTCGGGCTCGCCTACTTATATATGTTTACAATAAGATTCTAGAACTTTCCAAATAGTCTAATTATAGAAAGATTACAAAATATACCGCTTTAGGAACGCTTACGCAAGATCCTAAAATAAACAAACTACGAACTCTCGCGAAGCTTCTAGAAAGTCACGCTAGTCACGCAATACAAATTTTCATAACAGTACGGTTTCCAGTATCGCTCAAGTCACAAGCGCGGTTTCGTCTCTAGTGGCTTTAGCCTGCGAAGCGCAGACACATTTCCGGTCGTCGCTTCTCTCGGAGGAGAGAAGCGACGACCGGAAATGCGTCTGCGCTTCGCAGGCTATAGTGGCTTCGGCCTTTGACCGGAATCCTGTCGACATGCGGCCTACACCAAAGGATGCCGACGCACGCGAGAAAAAACCTCTGGTAGCCAGGGTAAAGAAGCAATCGACAATGTCAAAATATATACATGTATATATAATGTCTTTGATTATCGGGCTGTCCGAAGGAAGTCGCTCCTTGTAGGTTCAGTATCAATTGCTGAAATCTAGTAAACTACAGATAAATAGACTGGCTCTGAATCTACTAGATAGAGTTTTTCAAACTTCGCAAATAATATTTTATCGGGATAAGTTGAAAAATCAACAGATCTGGGGCCCGTTTCTCGAAAGTCCCGATACCTTTTCGCGCCCAGAAAGCTATTTTGTGTTTGTTATGTTTGCATTCAGGATCAAAGTTTTAATAATTTTGAAAATAATACAATGGAACTATCAGTTCCGAAGCAAAATTGACTGGTTTGTGGGCCAGGAAGTGTGCAACTATTCAACAGGTTTTGAGTTTTAAAGTTTGCCTTCGGGCCCGAAAAGTTTTCGGGTCTTTCGAGAAACGAGCCCTTGGTCTTTGAGTAATAAGCACAAAAAAATCGCAGTTTGCTCCCTGCCACATGACTCACCTGGCTGTTATCATTGACTATGACCAACTCCACAAACTTTGTTTCACTTTGCACGCTTCTACGACTCTAAAAGAAAGAAACGCAACCTATATTCTGATTGATCCTTTTATTGTACAAAAACATTAGTTACTACGCTAGTGACTGATTGTACAACAGTATAAACCCGCGAGTTAGAACCTGCATTTTGCCAAGTTAGCCTAAACAGTTTCTGATCATATAATGGTAATTAGCACAGATTTCGGCTATTAAGGTTTCTAAATAGGTTCTTATTTTCTGACGGAAAAAAATACATTGTAGGTTAGAGTATTAAGTGGTATTCAGCTTATTCCTCAGTTATATAAAATCTGCATAGAAATACACTGTGGTTGGAGTGATAAGGCACATACGTCTCCAAAAGGGATCCTGAATTGAGCTGATCCTAAGGGTACATAATTTTGTTTATAGATTTTAGAGAATTAGAACCTGTTTCAAATTTTAGGCTGAACAGGTTCTTGTATAAATGGGGCATACATGTAACTGGCAAATAAATTTTAGCCTAACAGATTCTTAAATAGACTTGCTATAAGTTGACCTCACGAGTTTCTTTGCCACATTTTTCTTTTTGCAGAAAAAATGAAAACAATATGCAAAAGTATTGTTATAAAACAGAGAGGCTCTTAGCCCTTTATCTGGCATTGAACTCACCCTACGCTTTCCATGAGCAGTAAGCTGATCCACAAAAGTTTCAGAACTAGCACTTTCAACTCCTGTAGCAAATAATATAATGTTCAATACACAAGACTGAAAAGAAATAGGTAACAATATGTACAATACTTTCAAAAGTTGGTTCTGACCAAATGAAAACCAAGAAATCTACAACCCTGGTCAAAAAGTGTTTAAAATTTTTCACTTTCTCACCCAAAGAACAGCTATTCCGCAGATCTGGTACCACTATGGCCCTTCCCCTCACCCCAGCCTGGTCAATGTTGTTCAGGTGGGGTCAGAAATGATCCAGCTAGACTTCAACATCGTTTTTTGGGGGGAAAGGGGAGTATTTGTAGTTGCCAAGTACTTTCAAGAGCTTTATCTTGAAACTAAACATGGCAACATCCATTTTTCTTAACATTTTTGTCCAAGTTTGTGACTGTTTAAAAAAATAATAATACTAATATGATAATAATATTATTATTATTAATAATAAAAACAAATTTGACGCACCACATCTCTTCTTTTCCTGCATCATATCCCTTGCTCTGTACATAACATGCTGTGGATAAGAGTCACCAAAATTCAATAAACATGGAATAATTTACGCCATTATCCTACTTCACTTGAGGACTCTAAAAGTTATTGGAACTGAAATAAAGAAAAAAGCTGGTTAGCACACAAAACTAATAGTCTATTCAAATGAATTAGCCTACAGGTCCACACACATTTTTTTCCCAAGAAATATGTGAGCACAAAGTGTGAGCACCAACACCCCAGCCTTACAGTAATGGTCAATAAATCCCCTACACATTATTTTTATACAAATGCTCAATGATCTCTAAAGAGGAAATAAAAGGTCTGCGAACAGGCTACAAATGAACTATAGATGTATGGAAAAGTGATTATACTGGTTAGAAGACTTAACAGTTATACCATAATGAATAAACTGAAGTACAGGAAGGAAGTGCTGACGAAGACAGAGCCAATATCTGACAAATGAACAGAGAAATGTTGAGGCATGAAAAGGAGAAATGTGTGTGAAGAACAATGGATTGTTAAATGGCATTTCTTGTTCAATTTTGTTCTCCTATGATTTACTCATCACAATTAGATGGTATCTCGCTTTCAACCGACAGTCCAGCCAGGCGGAGGAGCTACCCCAAGGTCCAACCCCTTACCCTTTCATATACCACTTCTGATGAGAAAAGGTATCCCTTTAATATACCTTCCACTGAAAAATTGGTGCCCCTTTCTCATATCTACTAACAGTAAGTCTTTTTTCAATAATCATAATATGTAGCATTTAATAAATTAAAATTATACAGCTATAGGGTGTGTCTGTTGGAAATATTTAAAATTAAGGCCTTTAAATATTCAAGTGGCAGATTTCTCTACCCTTTCACAAAGTCATGAAGTTCCTACCGTTTCATATTTCTGAAACCTGAAAAGCTCCCCATAAGGCAATCACAGGGAGTATCCTAGCCTGCAAGCAGGCTCTCTGGTCAGGGCAAAAAGGGAAGAGAGCTTGCACATGTCAGGAATGCTTGAAACCTGACTGCAAGCTCTCCCTCTTTTTCGGCCCACTGACAGAGTGCCCCTGAGAGCTTGCTCACAGGCTAGGAGTACCCCTCCCCCAAGAAGAGTCCAGTGCTGTGTTTTTCCAATATAGATGCCTTTCGTTAATGAGCATAAACTTTAAAAGGAAAAACAAAAACTGAACCAAAGATCAATGAAATTGACGTGATATTCATGGTTGAACTGTGTGACATTTACCTTATCTGTGTTGTTGGGAAGTCGATGGACATAATACGTCTCATTACCATCATAAATCATCCCACTGAAATGCGAAACAGTAAAGTACAGTTCAAAATCGACCCTTATGCCCAGTTAAAAAATTGAACTTTTGAAGTAAAGAACCTAATCCCTCAACTAAGTACATGAAGAAATTGACGTTTGAACCATTTAAGTCCCACATATCTAATTTGGGTCAAGTCCCATGAATTAAGATTGCGGGGCCCACATGGGAATTTTGACTGTGGAAAGACTTGGCATTTCAAACGCTGATCTTCTCATGTACCAAACCTAATGCATAAATTATTATAATTTATTTTCACTGGTAAACATTGTAGACCAGAACAGTACATCATGAAAAATATGAATTGAGTCCCACTTATTAAGTTCAACCTCTGAATCAACCGTCAAACTAGTACTGTTGGGTATACCTAAATAGGTGTTACTTTTGGTACATGAAAAGGTTGACGTTTGATCTGACCCTTAGGTTTAAGACGAAATGTAGCCTACACACAAGTCCTTAGGCTGGCTACATGGATTTAATATTACCTTTTTCATAAAAACAATACACTCAACAACAGTCAATTTCCTCTGAATTTCCTGCATAGATTTCCTGTAATTTTACCCTCAGTATGTCAATAACTTGAACTTCCCACTTATTTGAAGTAATTTTTGTTACCCTTCAGATCATTTCTATATAATTTTACCCTCGATAACTTGAACCATGTTTTGAGCATGGGGCAAAATTAAGTTTCAAAAAAAGTGTATTGCAGTCTGAAACATTGAATTTGCTTCAAAGAAACCATATATTCTTTGTCTTTACTTTTTTGTCAGTCCAGTTCAAAATACAGTGTCATGGGTCCCTTTATATTAATCAAGCTGATATTAATTTTTATGGTCAAGGTTAACTGCCTTACCAGTCATCACCACAATTAAATGGGATTATTTTGAAAACCATTTTTTTGTGTTATTTCTAGTTATTTGCTACAAGCTCTAGATAACTCGAACTTTTTTTGACTTCCTTGAAGGTTCAAGTTATCGGGAGTCAACTGCATTGAAATGTTCCAGATATTATTATGTTTTGAAACTTTAACAACCAGGGCAATTCTTAGTGATTGGAGATGACTAGTAGGATTATGTTTTCACTGGCAAATGAAAAAAAAGTTGTAACTAAAACCACTTACTCAATTCCTTGACATGTACTAATTGCAACAACTGAATGCTGACATCCTTGAACTGTTCCTTGATAGTAGCAATGGTCTTTTTCCTACAAGAGACAATTACATTTTATCACTTGAAGAGTTTTTTAAACAATATTCTTTGCCTGAAACCAGCTACCTGACAACAAGATGACTTTAACGTCCTTTATGCCAAGCCATACAGAGGGGAAAACTCCACTATCCTTTGCTACACTAGTGAACATAGATACAGGTATTTGTTTGAGCTGCTGTTAAATCAATACAGTGGATCGAACCCTATAAGTATGGTCACCTATGTATGGCTGTTTTGCTGGGCCACAAAAAGTGGCCCAATTTAACCGAGGTGACCGTATTACCAAGGTGGCCATAAGGCGGAGTTCCACTTTAGTTGTTTGAAGATGTTTGGTCTAAAACAGTGCCTTAGTTGTAAATCTTCTGACTGATCTGTATACATTTCCTCACAGAATTAGTTGGGAGAATTAGATAAAAGATCAGAGAATTTTTCTTTTGGTGATCATTTTCTTAATTCTCATAACCTTTACTCTTGATTCTGTAAATTGAAAATGCCAGAAGGAAATTGATGTTTATCATCTTTGGACTTAAAGGCCGGTTAGTTACCAACAGTGAACCAAGAAAACAAAACCAGGAAATGGCAAACCAACTGTCACACTACCCAAAAAAATGCCATCTAAATAATAAAAACTGAAAATATGGACCATGGACATGCACAAATGTACACGTAACATTGGTCTTCTTGGCTATTGTTTGTCAAAAAAAAGTCACGTAAAAAGTACTAAGTGGAAATTAGATGGTAAACAGTTTTATTCATTCACCATGTTTTTACATGAATTGATTTTAATTTTTCCTTAGAATTTATTTTTGTTGAAATAAGGCTTAAAATAAACATCCAATTTAATTTTATTCTGTAGACTCGGGATCCAGATGAAGTTACTCAGGTATAATAGCAATAGAGAGGTGTCAGGCCCAATAATATTATTACACCTGACACCTCTCCTTGTATCTCAAATTTCAAAGAATTATTCTTTGAAATTTGTGATACAAGGATTTTTGGGGGTGGCAAGAAATTTATTTGAAGCCGCACTTTTTTGGGGTCAACAGACTTTATGGTGTTTGACAAAAAGCATGACCCATTTTCTCATTTTTATAGACCATGTTTATATTTATATTTTTATTCGATTTTTCATGCAGCAAACAAAAGGATATTTCTTTGGCATGGAAACTCTGAGCTGTTGGACCTTTTGGACCTGGTTTCAGCCTAATAGGGCTTTTTTGGTATTAATGGCCTCATCCTTTCACCTCCCTGTCACTATTATACACAAGTATACCCACCCCCACCAACCCCAAGCTTAGGATATTTATAAATGGAAAGGAATGCGAATATAATAATCAATAATAGCTGAATTCAATAATATTGCTTTATTATTCATTCAAAATATTTCCAAGTTTTTAACATCCTTGACTCAGTCGTAAACTTTCTTCCAAACATTCGCCAGTTTCTCAGCACAGTCTTATATGAAACACATATTTTTCCCAGACAGTTTTAGTAGGTCATTCACCATAACGTCTTCGGATAGCCATAAATCTTTATGCTGTTTTGTTGAATTCACTCATACCTAAACAGTTAGGTTTTCTGTGCCACTAATTGGAAACAAGGTTTCAATTTTATGTTGGGCAATAACTTATTGAATTGATGGCATAATATTACCCACATCTTCCAAAGTAAGTACTGGCTGGCTATGAAAAATTATAGCCGGGGAATTTGAGCCAATCAGAAACATACAAGTATTTTGAATGAATAATAATGTGTCATTTATTTTTTTAAAAAAAGCTATTTAAAGAAAAACGTCCAATTAAAGTAAATGCTTTTGTTATCACAGTAACTTTGTTTCACATTAATTACCAGCATATTACTATATATAGTAATATTGTAACAATAATGTGACCGTTCTATTACACCTACATGATCCAGTGTTTAAAATATCGTGTGGGTATAATTAAAGGAAATTTCCATCAGAAATTAAATCATAAATGTTGTCAATATTACATCCTTCATCTATACTTGAGATGTAAATAGGGAGGGAAAAATTACCTTGGAAAAATACAAAACCTGTTTTCCGTTGAGAGGAAGTAGGTTCATGTAAAGCTATGGTGGCCCAAAAGTGTCATGGCAATTTCAGTTTTACTCACAGCAATTTCAATTTGTTGACGGCAATTTCAATTAGCTCACGGCAATTTCAATTTTACTCACGGCAATTTCAATTTGCTCACAGCAATTTCAATTTGTTCATGGCAATTTCAATTTGCTCACGGCAATTTCAATTTACCCACGGCAATTTCAATTTGCTCACGGCAATTTCAATTTACCCACGGCAATTTCAATTAGCTCACGGCAATTTCAATTTTACTCACGGCAATTTCAATTTGCTCACAGCAATTTCAATTTGTTCATGGCAATTTCAATTTGCTCACGGCAATTTCAATTTACCCACGGCAATTTCAATTTGCTCACGGCAATTTCAATTTACCCACGGCAATTTCAATTAGCTCACGGCAATTTCAATTTTACTCACGGCAATTTCAATTTGCTCACAGCAATTTCAATTTGTTCATGGCAATTTCAATTTGCTCACGGCAATTTCAATTTACCCACGGCAATTTCAATTTGCTCACGGCAATTTCAATTTACCCACGGCAATTTCAATTAGCTCACGGCAATTTCAATTTTACTCACGGCAATTTCAATTTGCTCACAGCAATTTCAATTTGTTCATGGCAATTTCAATTTGCTCACGGCAATTTCAATTTACCCACGGCAATTTCAATTTGCTCACGGCAATTTCAATTTACCCACGGCAATTTCAATTTGCTCACGGCAATTTTAATTACGGCAATTTCAATTTTACTCACAGCGATTTCAATATACTCACGGCAATTTCACAATTTTACTCAAGGCAATTTTAATTTTTTCAAGGCAACGCTCACGCCATTTTTCCTTTCTCTCACCACCTGTCAGCTACGGCGGCCGAGAGTGGCCACGCACCAAAAGTCAAAACGCAAAATCAAAAGTGGATAGTTAAAGTCGATCTTCAAAGAGAAAAGTGAAAATCACAATCAAAGGTCGAACTAGGTTACGAACTAGCAACTGGGGGGTATTTACATGAGACGAGAACATTAAACTCAGACTGGTATGAGTTCGTATCGATCGCCATACATTTCTTTTCATGCGTTTACCGACCTAAAAATAAACTCAGACCGGTCTGACTTCATCTCGGTCGCTGACCCGACATGAGTTACTTTTGTGCCGGTCTGAGACCGTACCGTTCTCATATAAAACAAAAAACAAATCTCAGACCGGGTCCATAAATAGCATGTTTTTTCGTATGGCTCCACCATTTTTGCTTTTTCTTAGCAAAAATAGGAGCACTGCTACCAATAACATCAGTAAACAAGACTTAGAAGTAGCTTCAATGCTTGGATTAATGTGAGGGATTGAACCATTTTGAGATGCTGTGCAGTAAATATTAACAGGCCACCAGGTGAGTGTTCGATAAAGCTTATAATTTTCTGGGACCAGTAAACTCTTCTGTTATCTACTCACTGTCTACTGGCATAAGTGCTCGTGAATCGATTTTCGATTTTTGATTTTCACTTTTCACTTTGAAGATCAACTTTAAATATCGACTTTTGATTTTGCGTTTTGACATGGTGAGCGAAGCGAAAAATGCTGTGAGCGTTATTTGCCGTTAAAAAATTGAAATTGCCATGAGTAAATTGAAATTGCCATGAGTAAATTGAAATTGCCGAGAGCAAATTGAAATTGCC